ATAATATAAATAAAATTTTTTAACAGTTGTGTAACGTTAAACGAAGATCTACATAGGGGGCACTGTCCCTGCTGAATTTTGAAGTGCCTCAAACAGCTGTTGATCTACGTAAAACTAGCTAATTACGTAATGTATCAATGAATGAATAAATTTACTATATATAGTAAATTAATACATTACGTAGCCCATAACGATAATTCGCGAGTTACAAACCAAAAAAGGAAATCCGATTTTGTAAGCTAAATTTAGAACCTTCACTTTAGGAACCTGCAAATTTGCACTTTTGCCGGCCCGCAATTTACTATGTTCTTGACACACCAGGCCCGCGATTTTGAGAGGTTTTAAAATTTTCAAATTTCGGCCTGGCCCGTGCAGGCCTCTATTTCACATTAGAGATTATAGAAAAAAAAAAAGATTACAGCTATTATCATAATTTCCGGGAACCTACTCATTACCCGAAATCTTTTTGGTCGTTCGGTAAATTACCTAACTCTCCGGAAACTACATCGCTGTCTTCGGACCTTCAATCCGGAGGCAATGATGTAATTCCCGGAGAGTTAGGCAATTTACCGAACGACCAAAAAGATTTCGGTAAGAGCAGGTGTCACAGAAATTATGATAATAGCTTTAATACTCATTATATGTAAAATTTCATTCCCGACATTTTTAATTAAAGCATCAAGGTCGATTTAAACGCTAATTTTTGTGTATTTTCGCTTTTTTTTTTTGTTCGGATTCTATGTCGGAATAGTCAAAATTCGTACTCTCTGATTGGCTATTTCCTTTTTAAGAGTTTCCTGAAATTCAGATGATGCTAAAAATCAAAAAATCCTATTGGTTAAATTTTGTCAAGTTGATTACTGTCCGGAACGTAGCGGAGGACATGTAATAGTTATATCCTGGGTAGTTGGGTATAACTGATTTATCGTTATACCCTGCGATCTTGATATAGGGACAGGGTATAATCAATGTTTAGCTACGGTGATACAAAAGGTCCGTTTTTGATGCATCACAACTTACGTTCTTGATTTAGTGCAACAAAAGCATGCATATCACGCGTTTGACCTAGTATATGTCGTCAGATTTCAACTTTGCTACGTAATTAGCTAATTGGCGTTAGGCATCGTCTTTGCACTTCCCATTAATTATTATTTGCAAGAAAGTTTATCGATAAAAAGTTTTCTATACATGTTTATTAATTTACTTAGATACATAATTGCCAAGAACAACGATTCCCATATACCTATGAAGAATTAGGAAATTCTTATTAGTAAAATTTGGAAATTTCATGAATTTCCCGTAATATGGTGATTTGCGTCTGTCACTTTTTTGAAAACAGCTATAAAAAAAAATAGATAAATTTACACTCACTATGCCGAATATTAGTAGTCTCAAAAATGAAGTTTCCTTTTATTAATGATCTTTAATAAAAAACGATCGGCATAAAGCATATGTTTTCTGAATAATGATTAAGGTAATATAGGGTTTGTATCAATGCGCATCGTTTATCAAATTGATTTAGCCAATTAACTTGTTTTTGTATTCTGTGAAAAAAGAATCTGAAAGCAATTCAAAATTGAGCAATGGCGTGAAAATTTAAGCCCCGTACGTTATACGTATTATATGGATAAAGCAAAGGGAAACCTTCGATCATATAATATACGTACGTAGGTACCCTAAGAATATCGATATATGTGTAGTAAACCAAAGTTATATTTCAATGCATTTGGAGTTATTGTTAGATACATTACCACAGAATTATAATATCAAGTATATAATTTATGCAGTATATGATATGTACGGCTACAAAGCACAATAACCAATTATTGGGCATAGCACGATTATAATATACGTATGAACATCTTGTTTCAAACTCACTTAAGATTCATAAGATTCATCCAAGATTATCCCTTTATACCTGATTTTTATAAAAAAGTATTCATAAATTGAAAGAATTTCTTATGGTTTCGTGTTTATCAATTGTTGATCTTAATTACTTTGGAACCTTTTTTGTCATAATTTACGTTTAGAACATCAATGTTTGATAATTTAATGTTTAACGTGATTATATGCATACACGGTGTAAAATTTCTACACGTTGCGTATATATTTAAAGCTGTAGCTTTGGCCTCTGAATTTCGTCGCAATTTCCTCTAGATTATTTCTTTAGCATCTTCACTCGGAAATACATTTTTCCTGACTCGACACCTCCCAAGTATATTTCCAAGTATATCAACTAAAAAAAATAATAATAATAAAAAAAAAACAAAAAAAAATGAAGTTTACCCTTGGAATTACTCTAACAATCCTTTTATTCTCGTTAATTTCACCTATTGATGCACTTTCACCACCTCCATCTTCTGACTTCTGTAAAAACCTAACAGGAGTTCCTGAATTAAATGGTACTCAAATTCCCTCTGGCTTTTGCTCAAGTCAAATAATGGGACAGATCCCATCGGATGATCATATACCTAGCACTTTAATCCTTGCGCCTTCAAACGAAGCAGGCATTTCAGTTAACCAAACTTTCAATGTCACAGTTAAAATTACTAATCTTGAAACAGGACATTTTAGCGATCCGAAGACAGAATACTATCTTGAGCCACAAACACTTAATGAAGATGGGGTTGTTTTAGGGCATTCTCATATCGTCATCCAGCTTTTGACTTCAGAAACTGATGTTCCGAATTCTAAAACCTTTGTCTTTTTTGAAGGTTTAAATGATGCTTTTACCGATGGCGTGTTCACTCAGGAAGTTTCCGGCGGATTACCTGCCGGTAGATATAGAATTTGTACCTTGTCTTCAACATTCACCCATCAGCCAGTCATTATGCCAGTTGCTAAACGCGGTGCTCAAGATGATTGTATTCGTATTACTGTGAGCTAAAAGCTCGTGAATTCTGGGTTGATGTAATTTTTTTTTTATTATTTAGATAATCAAAAATAACAGATAAAACTCTTAGACGTTAATTTAATCGGCAGAGCCACTGTAATATTAATGCTTTCAATTACTCATAGTACCTTTTCTTATTTCTTGTACGTCCTAGAAATTAATGTCAAAAAAGTCATGTAAATTCTCAATATGCTTTGATGCATTTTTTGCACGTTTATAACCTGAAAAAGAAAAAGTATATACTTAGTCTTATTAATTCCAAATAATATAATAATATAATAAAACCGAATTTTAAAAACATAAAAGCTTTCATTCAAGTTATAAATTGTTTAATTTATTCGATGGTTTGCAAAGTTATTATATTTATTTAAATAGTTCGGATAATAGAGAAACGAATGAACATCACATCAAACTGTAATGATAAGACTTTTGCAACTTTGAATATGATAACTAAGTAAATACTGAACGAGTTCATGATCTCAATTGAAAAGTTCCCGGACCTTTCTTTAAAATCAAACTCTGGTCATTTAAGAAATCGATAAAAGATTGAAAATTATCATATCGAACATTTGAATCTAATTATATATATATATATATATATATATAAATAACCTAATGGTTTGTTACGACAAAAAAGACAAGCTATTCATCGATATTATAATTACCTGTAGCAATTTGTTGCATTTCTTGAATCGTAAATACGTGGCTTCCTTTTACGTTTCCAAATCTTTGAAGCTCGTTTAAAAATCTGTTTAAAAATAGTCGTAAAACGGTAAAAGACTTAAATTGCAACGGAACTCGAAAATAAAAGGATGTTAAATACCTCTTTGCATCTGCTTGCTTTCCGGATCTCATAACTAAAAATAATTGAAATGTTATCGTATTAAGCAATTACGATTAGGATACATATTTATAGTTCCAATCCATTATTCGTTTATCCGGATAATTAACTGATATTTTATCCGTTACCGGATATCCATATCCAAATAATTATCCGAAGTGTCGCTTTTAGCGACACTCATATCTGGAATACATATTTGATCTGTTTATGCCGGTCTGAATGATCCGGATAATTCAGATACGATGACGGATTTATCCGGATTGGAACTCTAGTGTCGATAGTTTACCAGCTTTTGTCTTTGCTTTTGTTCGCATATTTCCAAATTCATCTTTTTTAATTCTAAAAAGGCAAAATTCCCTATATATTATCATATGAATAAATAAATAATTTCAATCCATAATGATAACAAGGATTATAATATTATATCAATATAATAAATACATTATTTCTGCAACATCTTCAACATCTTCACTAATTACAATGTCCCTCAATTCCATTCGGGCCCTGACTTGTGATAATCGAATCATTGTTTCTAATTGTCTGATTGTTATTGGTGTTCCATCCACAAATTGATATTTATGTCCCATATTAACAAAAAATATCTTGATCATTTCGCGTGCTTCTTGTGAAAGACTTAACCGGACAGATAAATAAGAAAAATAAAAATAAAATAAAATAAATACGAATATTACGTTAAGTCAACCAAATAATAATACGTACCGTGGATGAACATATTTACGCGCGTATGCAATATATTTTTGTAAAAGCGATATAGGTAGCACACCCATATCTTTGTCCTCTGTGCTAATCTTTAATCGTTTAGATAATGGTAGAATACCAACTAAATGACTTATGTTTATGTCACTCTGTGAAGGAACTATCAATTATTGGATTGTTAAAACATGTGGATAAACTATATCAGTGTTGTCAATTTTATCGGCCAAACCAAATTTTTTTTTGGCTGTTTCAGCCAATGGCCGGCCAAAAAAACATATAAACTTGGTTGAATTGGTCGGTTTTTGGCCGACAAAATTGCCATCACTGAACTAGATGTAACTAACACATATATATTACCATATCTTTGTGATTTGTCTAATTTGTCTTCCGGATAAACACCTGAATGAACCTATAGAAAAAAAAAATGTATGAAGCCTATTCTATAGACATCTTTACAACATAAAAACTAATAACAACCGTCATGACACGCTCAGAAAGATAATGATCCATTTCTTCATCCGGAACATCCAACAATAAGAAAATGAGGTCGAAATTCGATAAAAGCGCGTTTCCAATTTTAAGGTTTTCTGATAACAGTTTAGTCTTGCTATAATAATATTATAATATATATCATTGAATTTATTATTAATCATAATCATACGAAATTCATTCCGATTTAAATCTTTACTTGTAATGTCCACCGATCGGGTTGGCCGACGCTCTAGTGGTTCGAAATATTATTTAACAATAGAAGATTTTATTAATAAGCAAACTGACAAGTTAAATATATGAAACATTCACATTATACTAGTTCGAGCAGCTAATGAACATGTTACACCAGCTTTGCAAATCCTAATAAAAAAAAAAAAAAAAGTAGTAATTGTACCAGTGCATGACGATAAAGCTGATTTAAATAAATAGAATCTACTACTCACGAGATTGTTTGTCTAGACATTGCTTCCGCAAGAGCATTAGGCTGAGTTATTTTTTCAAAATCATCAATTCGACAAATTCCCGTATTGCTCAATGCAAATGATCCTACGACATTTAAACAGTTTATTACAAATTTTAATAAGTTAATAAAATTATATACTGTTAACCAACCAGCTTCAAGAATTAAGTCTCCTGATCGTTTATCATGGTGCAATAACGGCATTAAAGGAAAGCTATTGGCTTGGTTTGTTGGTGTGAATACAGTATGCGGAGCTACTTTACTTGCTGCATCGAGAAAGTCTCTTTTATCCGTTCCAGGATCGCCTTTTACGTGTATTAAATGAAAACATCATAATAAAATTATAAGATTACAAATTGCATTTCAACACTTGATACGAACCAACAATTAAGACATTAATTGCACTATCATCAGTTCCACCAAATATGGCTAATAAGATTCCAGCTACGATAATAGAGTATAAATTAGTAAACACTGGCAAATTCATATGATAAATGATTATTTACCCTTGACAATCTCGTGTCCGTAAACATTCGGACAAAACGAATTAACTATTCGCTGTTATATGAAGGATTGAACATTTTTAAATTTATTCTTGTTTTCAATAGTTTTATGTTTTCGAATTTCAAAAATACCTTGAAAAGGTCATCGGATTGAAAGTCAATGACATGTTTTATTTTGAACAAATCGGACAGCGAAAAATATGTGTCCTCCGGGTTCGTAAGATTTTCGCGACAGTCACGTGAAAATATTTCAAAGATCAAGATTTTCTTGATTTCAGTAGCGTCAATATAAAGATTGTGCATCATAGAACCCTTCGCTTTTTCATTAACTGACAAATAAACCAAATTGTATCAGCCCATAGAGCAATACTAGGTCTATATGAAAGTTATGTTACCTGGAATTTCAAGAACTTCTAGTTTGCCAGTAACGGAAACAAAGTCACCTGGTTTGACAGTTTCTACCAATTCGTCACGTAATTCACAATCAATGGTCATTGGAAGTGTAGCAGCTTCACCGTAACCATCCCATACTTCTTGAAGCCTTTACATTCAATGAATAAATTTACATCCAGTATGATTTCAAAAATATTTCAATAATAATAAATAGCCTTACCTAATAATTTGCCAATCAGCAAATTCTTTTTTATTTGTTTCCTCATTATACTTTAGTATAGGAGTAAACTCTTTGCTTTTACATCCCCAAGTTTTACATTTGAATGGAAAATAGTATTTTCCCCCACCAAATTCTAATGTCTGACAGACATTACATTCCATACACGTAAAAGTAACTTCTGATGCATATAACTTTATCCCGGAAGAATATGTTACTGCGCCTCTGATCGATACTGTTTTGCCTATTTTTATAAATATTATCGAAAAAAAGTTACAATTTTTTTTAACTTTTTTTTCGCCTCATTTACCTATCAAATTTTCAGTTAAGTCTTTAATGGCAATAAATTTCTTATTAAAAGCGCCATTATTTTCAAAAGGTGAAGAGCTTGAATGATGTCCTTTTTCGCATGAAATATTGAGACTTCTGTTTGAAAAACCATGATCATCTGATGCATTGAAAATATTCGATCTTCGGTTCATTATCACTTTCAAGGTCCACGTCTAGATGGTTCCTCCTCAGTCGCCATGTTAATCTGGAAGCGATGAGCTTTTATTACTGCAGGTTGACTTTCTGTGCTGAGCAATTATCACAGCTATTATCACCGCAAAAAAATCTGGAACCACTCGTGTAACGCTTAGGCAAAAAAAATTATTGTCGCGGTTGATGCTGGAAACGGCTGAAGCTGGAAATCAGTGTCCCTGATTTAAAAATATAAACCTTGCCAAAATCCACTTATACTCTTTCATTATCAAAACTAACCCTAAATCCTAATCTA